TCTTATAGTTCTACATTTTGCATTTAGATCTTTGATTCATCTTGAGTTCATTTCTGCACATGGATACTCAGTTTTGCCAGAACCACTTGTCAAAGAGACGATCTCTCTTCTCATTTAATGTGTTTTTTGTCTAAGACTTTTCATCAATGATTGAGACTATGGATTAGGATCCAAGAATGAAAAACTGTTAAGTTTGTGGCTTGGAATCAACATTCATTCTATTAAGAATCCTAAGAATGAGCTGATCTTGCCTGACATTCTTCTTTCTTATAAAACACAAGGCAGCAGCCACACACTCAACTCCCTTCATCTTTCAACTCAAATGCACAGGCCCTGGTGGTGTAGGGGGTTAAAAGTTGGGCTGGTGGTGTACGGGGTCAGCAATTCAAACTCATCAGCAGATCCATGAGAAAAGGTTGAGACAGTCTGCTCCTGCAAAGAGTTACAGCCTTAACTATCATATAATTCACAATAAAACATTAAAAAACAAACAAACAAAAAACCCTAAGGTTTTTTACTCTATCCTATCGGGTCTTTATGAGTGGGACTCAACTATAAAGTCAGTTTGAACAACAAGACCAGCTGTTCAAACTCACCAGTTGCTCCTCAGAAATCCTATACAGGGTCACTATGAGTTGGAACTGACTTGACTGCACTTAACAACAGCAAGAACAATGCACATACAGCGCTGCAGATGTGCAGTGAGTGCTTGGAAGTTTTAGTTCATCTGATGAGTTAGCACTGGGCACACTGCATTGTATTTCTTTCCTGGAGTAACTCTCAGAAGCAGCTGCTATTACTATCATCCCCATTTTACACAGGAAGGAACTGAGGTTGAGAAAGTTTAGTAATCAAGAGTAAAAGTGTCAAGAATCAAAGCTAGGTCTGTCTGATTCCTGCTATTTGGTGGACCATGCACACCCACCACCACCATCACCACCACCATCCCACAAAACCAGGTCACATCAGAATTAAAAAGATACGCTTATGGATGGAACATAAAATTGTCCACTGTGAACCTTATTATCTAAGGATTCCAAATGTCTTTTAATCAAACATTGTCCTTCTTCAATCCAAGGACATGTTCTTGCATCTTCCCTATAGAAAATAGTACATAATTCTGAACACATAGTAAGCGCTCAATGAATACTCACTGGATTTAACACAAATCCAAGGAAGGAAATTGAAACTGTGCCCTGGCTCAGAATACCTGATCAAACAATTCAAATAATCATAGATTCCCTGAAGCTTAAAAAGACTTACCTAACATACAACATGTTTTCTGGGGGGCAGCAAGAGTTTTGATCTCAAGTTAAACATTCCTAAGCTCATCAAAAGTCTCATGTGAGTAAAAACAATTCACTTCAGGCCTTCAGGTAGGATTAGGGAAACATCCCAATGTCTTTGCTATTAAAGCCTATAAAACTAGTCTTTGGACCAGATCCAATCTTAGATTTGTGTTTTTTATTGTTTTTTGTTCTTCCCAAGTCCTGTGAAAGATACTGCCTTATTGCTGCTATTCTGGCTAAGAGATCTAGATGGAGGCAGGTATTCTAAACCTGGAAGGAAGAGTGGAGGGCCAACACTGGGAGGGAACATCATTTTCTATGCAGAGTGGGGCTTCCAAGTAAAAAAATCTGGAGGTGTGTAAGCCCATGGCTCAAAACAAATGGGGATGGGGAATAAATGAAAAGAAATAGAACACAATTGGGATTTACTTCTAAGAACTTCTAGTCAGGATTTTGTTGGAATGTCTATAATTGCTGATTTCTGAGTATGACAGAGCCTCAATGTGCATTTTATGTCCTCTGGATGGAGAAGGAAGCAGTAGAGTTGAGACACAGGACTGGGAGGAGGACATTAAAGAGGGAGATGGTAAAAGTAAAACTTTTGTGAACCACAGGAGTCGCTAGGTGATACACAAACAGCTAATGGGCTTGACTGCTAACAGAAAGGTTGGAGGTTTCAGTCTGCCCAGAGGCAGGTTGGAAGAAAGGCCTGGCGTTCTCCTCTGGCACATATGGAGTTGTCATGAGTTGAAGTTGATTTACATTTGATGACAACTGAGTGTGTACTCCAAAGAGACAAATAATGCAACTCTCAGCCTGGGCCTTCCAGATACACTGAATTTGTTTTTACATGAACAGGTTTTCTTATGGTTCAAAAGTTAGAAGCAGAGTTTAAGATTTGAAAAATCTGTATTTAATGCCCTGTTCTGCCATTTTCTACCCTTAGGGTCTTTGACAGGGGACTAACCCCATCGAGCTTTACTTTCTTCGTCTGTAAAATGAAAATAACAATGGTATATACTTCAAAGGAATGTGGGGACGATGGCATGAGACACTGTATATAAAAACATTTGTTAGGTACTGGGCCCAGAAGCGAGACGCTCTGGTGGTGCTGTAGGGTACGCACTGAACTGCTAATGCATAGCTATGAGTCATTGTGAATTGGAATTGGCTTGATGGCAGTTAAGTTCGGTTTGGTTTGGGGCACAGAGAAAGCACCCAGTAAAAAATGAAAACCAGTTTTTTTTTGTTTTTGTTTTTTCATTATTGCTTGTAAGAATAGCTTATAAATGCATTATTATAAATGCATTTTCACAGACATGTTGTTGTTAAGTGCTCTCAAGTTGGTTCCGACCCATAGCAACCTTGTGTAGGGTTTTCGAGGAGCTGGTGAGCTTGAACTGCTGACCTTGCAGTTCAAACAATTTTGCAATCTAGTGCATTAACCCACAGTGCCACATCACTTTTTTAAAAAAGCTTCCATGCATTTTGTGTACAGGTTCCCAAAACAACCTGACAGGAAGGCAGGGAGAAATTCCTACCCTCAATGTGCAGATGAGACCATGAGACCACGTGTGCAGGTGTGGCTTAGAGACACTAGAATTCATTGTCCGCAAAGAGCGGGCCAAGAGTCTCTGACTCAAGCATGCTTACTACAGTTACCCCATAGGAAACCAGGAAGCAGAAAACACGTGAAGAAAGAACTAGAAGCCAGCCTATCTACAAGAGAGAGCAAGATGATTCCATTCTAGTCAAGTCTGGTCTAGTCTCTTCATTTAAATGTTGCTTGGGACCCACACTGATTGTGCAAGCCATGTTTGAAAAGCATTGCTGGAGGGAGCTGTGTTTCCCAGAGGCCAAATGAAGGAAGGATCTGTTCTGCAGAGTACTTTGTGGTTAGTTTGTTTAGACATTTATTATAGACATTCACACACAGGTGTCAAACGACAGGTAAGAGTATGATGATTCTCCAGCCTAGTGCTGGTCACAGAGTTTCAATGATCATCATTCCACTCACTCCTGTTTCATTTATAACTATTTGCCTTCAAGTTGATTGTGACTCAGGGTGCCCCCATGTGTGTCAGAATAGAATGGCTCCACAGGATTTTCCACAGCTGATACTTCGGAAGTAGATGCTCAACCCCTTCTCTCAAGGCACCTCTTGGTGGGTTTGAACTACCAACCTTACAGTTAGTAGCCGAGTGCTTAGCCATGTGCACCAACCAAGGTCTTTGTTTCATGAGTTCCTCTAGCCATCCACCTGTTTCTTAACACTTTTTTTAAAAAAAGAAATACTTGGGGAGTTAAAAAAATATATATCCAGATTCAGTTCCAGCAGGTCTGCGGGTGGATGGGATTTGCAGTTCTCATGGCTGCCTCTCCAGGTCAGGTGAAAGGACCACCACACCTGGGAGGGCTGAAGAGTGACTTCGAGGGGTGCCACCATGGCAAGTCAAGGACTCTATTTCACCCAAGCAGTGGGTCCTACTGAGGCAGAAATGGCAAACTCTTCAGGTACTCAGGCACACAAGTATTATGACACAGGATGGAGAGGCCTCTTCAACAGTGGAAACAGCTGTAAGAAATAAGGCTGAAGGAAGGAGGTTAGTCCTCTAGGTCTGCGAAGAAGGACATCCTTCACAACATCCTTGTTGGCCTTCCCACTCTGTGTCCTAATGATCTGAGGTTGTCTATGAATCACCTGCTGGGCAGGAAACCTCTTACCTGTCTTTGCTTTCCCAGAGTTACCAAATACCTGTGAACCTTGTGAAACAGATGGCATTCAACCATTCTTGAGCTTCAAAATGTCAACTTTATGACCCAACCTAATTCAAAGTAGGTAAGTCAAGGGCTCTGTATCTCAAGCAAGCAGTAGGTCCCATTGAAGGGAAATAGCAAATCCTTCAACTCCCTGAGTTATGCAAATGGTTAACGGGCTTGGTCACCAACTGAAAGATTGGTGGTTTGAATCCACCCAGAAATGCCTTCAAAGAAAGGCCTGATGATCTTCCAGAAACTCAGTCACTGAAAACCGTATGAAGCACAGGTCTACTCTGACACACATTGGGTTGCCAGAAGTCAAAGGTGACTCAATGACAACTGGTAACAACAAAACTGGGCTTCCACAAAAGCCCAGTAAAGGAATGAACACGGACTGGCTTATAACAGCTCGTATGTGCCAGCTTCTAAACCAGTATTTCTCATCAACTCAACAACAGTGCAGGGTGGATATAAATCTTTTTACATACGCGGAAACTAAGGCAATGTATGCGTAAGTGCTTAGCACAGTGTCTGATGATTACTGCAAGTTTAATGTTGGCAACTGTTATGATTCTTATTTTCCAAAACCACACAGCTCCTCAACAGTGGAGCCAGATCTGAATCCATGCCTGCTTGGCTCCAAACAATCTGCCTTTTCAGGCAGTGCCTCTCCTGGAATTGTTGCACCTTGAAGCCTCAGGAAGAAGACTGGAGTCAACAAAGTCAATATGTTAACAAGTCCCAGACAAGGAGTAATTTCAGGGTATGGAACAAAATGGAGAGAGACCGTCTAAAACATTTTTTTAACAGAGTATTGTGACATTTTAAGGAGAATGTGTACCTAGAGAATGTCCTGCAATTGACTATCATGCTGGTTCTCTCATGATCAAGAATCAGATGGGCAGACCCACGCAGAGCTCTGTTAAAGCAGGGGAGATGGCGCCTTCTTACCTCTTTGCCCTGTCTTTCTCATCTTCATCCATGAGATTTTCTATGCAGTTTTTCCTGGAGAGAATAAAAAGAGAACAGATGATTACTGTCTGCTTCTAGACCGTTCTAACAGGTCTTTCTGGTTGTAGTCATCTTGGTCTCAGCTGACTTGCATGTCTTACTTAGCTCAGTGGTTCTAGAACATCCTTGTTTCAATTACTCTTAAAAATTACTGAGGAATATAAAAAGTTTCTATACTGAGATAATTTTACATGCATAAACACATACTTCACTAGTCAGCGGAGTGATGAAGATATCATATGTCACGGGAAGTCCAGACTAACCCAAGTCTACTCATTAGAAAATAAGAGTAGCAAGGGTGGCGCTGTAGGATGAGCACTGGACTGCGAACCACAAGGTCAGCAGTTCAAACTCACCAGCTGATCCTCGGAAACTGACTGGAAAGCAGTTAGCAACAACAACACGAATTATGTGAGTATGGTGCAGGACCATATGAGCCGGAACTGACTCCTCAGCACCTAACAACAATAACCACCAGCTCAATGAAGCATCAGTTTATCTCCAGCCTTAAACCTGAAAGTACCTTCTGTTGAGTGGCTCTGATCTGCCAAGAACATCACACCAGGCTATAGTCACTGTTCTTCATGTAAAGCTACATGCCTGTGACATTCTAACAAGAGGATTTATTTGTCCATCTGTCCATTCAAATACACAAACTCCTCTAACAGAGGAACTGGGACCTCACAGGAGCAGAATCCATACCCTTCCCTTAAGACACTTACCCTAGTTAAGTGTCTTAGTCAAGACACAGTTACAAAGCATGAAATGTTCTTGTGGGCCAAGTCACCAGGGACTGCACCTCACTGCCTCCAGCTCCTACTCTCCCAGGCCATTGGCTCGAGGCCATATGCAGCCTGCAATTCCTTCATCCTCTCAAACCCACATCCACTATTCCTTCTTTCATTCACAGTCTCTCCTGCCTGGAGGTGCACTTCTATCTGCCAGCACCCCACGCATGAACGCTTTCAGGGTGTCCAGTGAGGCAAGAGGCCTTCTGGAGGCACAAGCTTGCAGTGGCTGAGGGGACAGAGTGTGACTGAGCTAAAGAGTATGATCACCAGGAAGCTGAATCACCACTGCACCCACCCTACGTTGTAAAGCAAGCACTCCAAAAATACAAAACAACTAGCCTACTGCCATCAAGTTGCTTCCTGCTCATGATGAACCCAGGTGTTCAGGGCAGAACTGCCCCACAAGGTTTCCAATGGCTGTGATTTTGGGGAAGCAGATTACCAGACCTTTCTTCTGAGGTACCTCATGGGGAAGTTCAAACTGCCAAACTTTTGGCTAGTAGGCAAGTACTTAATCATTTGCATCACCCAGTGACATTAGAGCTCCAAAACCACTTCGTGAATACAATAAGACACTACTCTTAAAATTTAAAGTTTCAAATAAAAATAATTAATGTAGCAAATAAATCTTTCTCTGAGAAAATTCCATTTAATTGCTTTGGTTCGCCACATGCAAAAACACAGGAAGAAGAATTCAATGCGTCAGATTGCAAAGTCATTGGAACCACAAGGTCTGTGGTTCAAGTTCACCAGCTACTCCTTGGAAATCCTATACAGGATCGCTATGGGTCAGAATCGACTCGAAGGCACTTAACAACAACAACAAAGCCTTCATTTACATGCCGCATTCAGTAACTGCTGCCTTCAAGTTGATTCTGACTCACAGCCTCATCTTCTCCTTGAGGAGGGGCTGGTGGATTTGAACTGTAGACCTTGTGGTTAGCAGCCCAATGCCTAACCCACAGCACCACCAGGGCTCCTCTCATTCAGTAAATTAAAAGCATATTTAATGACAGAGTCACAAGAAATGCAGTTCAGCAGTTGAGACTTGCATCATAATTGAAATGAAACTAAGACATCTACAAATAGGCATGTGTTTAATGCTTTCCAGATGGAATCTGTTCAAAGCTTTATGACAAGAGAAACATGGTATGGAGTCAATGAACACTGTAAAACCACCAGCCTGGAATTCCAAGGAGAGTGGTGGCCACAAAGGCACTTGGGGCCTCAAGCAAGGAGTCAGTCAAGAGAGGTTCTTCACCAGGTGGCCTGAGGAAGAGCATGTTCAAAGTCTGGGTTTCAGTTCTGGAATCCTGTTTGGGTAACTAGTGTTTCTTAGTCACAAAATAAACATCTAAAAATGACTAACAGCTATTCTTTATCAACTACATCTTCTCTGATTTACATCTACTTATCTGTAAATATTTCCTGAACCCATGAAGCCTCAAGGATCTACACCCACTTCCTCTTCTTCCTCAGCCCTCCCATTTCCTTGCTCTAATTCCTGACACTGACCGCCCTCTAGGACATTCTACTGAATTGCACCCTCTGTTTGAAGAGAGGCACTAGTGGTATGCCCTGTTAGGACTGTCACAGAAATTCCACTTGGTATCCTGCATGGTCCTTGTTGTCACTCATGCTTTCACCCATGTGTTTTGTTGTTGTTGTTTTTTAACTGTGAATTGAGTGATGATTTACAGACAAGATCATCAGCCTTACATTCAACAAATCATACACTTTGCTGCATCTCAATGATTGCAGTCCACTCAGTGCAAAAACAGTTGTCTCGCTTCCTCTCTGTGGTTACCCAGGTACAAATACCCTCTTTCAAACTCATATATATTTGTGGGATATTGAGTCAATCTCTGTGATAGTTCATTTCATGCGATGATTTGGCTAAACTACAATATTTAACCAAACCGCAAGGTCAGTTTGAACCACAAGGTCAAGGTTCAAACTCACCAGTCACTCCTCGAAAACCTATACAGGGTTGCTATGAGCGGGAATTAACTCTAAGACACTGAACAACTACAATGTAGGTGCTGTTAGGAAGGTATTTTGTAGAGGTGGCTATCATTTGCAAGCATTTTACGCTAAATAATGGATATTATCCTTGATACTGTGGGTGGGCCTCATTCAACCAGCTAAAGGCCTTGAAAGCAAACACTGAGGTTTCCTGGAGAAGAAATTTGTCCCAAATCTAAAACATCAACTCCTGCCCGACTTTCTAGCAGGCTGGCCTGCCCTCAGATTTTGGATTTATTAGGACCTTTAATGATGTGAGCCAATTCTTTAAAATAATAGATAGATAGATAGATAGATAGATAGATAGATAGATAGATAGATAGATAGATGACATATAGAGATGTTGTTGTTGTTGTTGTTAAGTGCCATCGAATCAGTTCCAACTCATAGTGACCCTGTATAAGGTTTCCAAGGAGCAGCTGGTAGGTTTAACCCACCAACCTTGCAGTTCAAACCGACCGTTTGGTCCTATGCATTATCCTGTAGTACCATACCAGGACTCCATCCAGAGATAGATGTTTTTTGTTGTTTAGTGCCATCAAGTTAAGTCTGACTCATAGTGACTCTGTATAGGATTTCTAAGGAGCAGCTGGTGGATCTGAACTGCCGACCTTGCATTTCAAACCAATCTGTAATCATATGCTTATTATATAGCGCCACAGCAGGACTCGGTATAGAGATATGTTGTTGTTGAGTGCTGCTGTTGAGTTGGTTCCGAGTCATAGTGATCCTGAATAGGTTTTATCCCACAGCGCCACACCAGGACACCTTATTTACTTATATATGTGGTGCTGGAGCATAAAGCACTGGACCACAAGGTCGGTTTGAACCACAAGGTTGGCGGTTCAAACTCATCAGTTGCTCCTTGGAAACCCTATACAAGGTCACTATGAACTGGAACTGACTTGACGGCACTCAACAACAACAAACAATATACCTGCATATAGGTACATTGGTGATGGTGTGCCGTGGAGTCAGTTCCGACTCACAGTGACCCTGCATAGGGTTTCTAAGGCTGTAAATCTTTACGGGAGCAGAAAGCCTCATCTTCCTCCCACAGAATGGCTGGTAGTTTCAAATTGTTTACCTTGAGGTTAGCAGCCCGACTCATAACCACTACGCTACCAGAACTCCTTATAGGTATATTACAACTACCTATATCTCTATATCTGATACAGAGATATAGGTATATGGATCTACACACCTATATAGAGATACAGGTATATGTAAACACACACATGTCTGATTACGTTATTTTTTTCTGAGGAAACCTGACTGACTGATATGAACCCATTTTACCTCATAGTGTGGAGGAGCAAGAAAGGGCCAAACACATATAACTAAAAAGATCTAAAGGAAGAAAATCAGTTCTACAAAGTCAGGCTAAAGGAAGAATAGAACATTTTAAGGGGGACAACTACTCTTCTCAATCACCAGGGTAAGTCCAAAAGTCTTGCTACTAGGGTTCGTTCCAGTCAGACACACAAGGATGACAAGTTCTCTCAGTATTACATTGGTTTTAGTCAACTGAAAGTACCTTTCAGGGAAAAAAGGTCCAAACACAACTGACTTCCAAGGTCAGCTCAGAAGGTTACTATTGTAAAGTGCTATCAATCTGGTTCCAACTTACAGTGGCCCTGTATAGGGTTACCGAGGAGTGGCTGATGGGTTTGAACCACTGACCTTGAGATTAGCAGTCCAGTGCTTATCCTACAGTGCCACATTTAAAAAAAAAAAAAAATTTGTGGGATAGTTGGATTTCTTCAAGGACACGGGATGATCCTGGGGGCTTATTAGGAAGACAACGGAAATCTGCACTGATAAGAAAAAGGCCAGGAAAGTTATGCCAAGGAATTTTTCCCCATCGCAAAAATGAACACACTCACTCTTTGAGGGTAGTAAGGTCTGTCCTAGGAGAACTCCATTAGGAAACCTTAC